ATATTAAAAACTAAAAAAAAAAAAAAATGAAATACCATGTCCAGAGGATGAAGTTATTTGTTAGAGGAAAACAACTCTCAGTCATTGTTTTTGCATAAGGCTTCACAGTTCTGTAAGTGCAAAAATCCACCAATTTCATTTGGACAAACAGGTAAGCTGTATGCTACTACTACTGCATCTTCTTACCTTATGCGTTGGCCCATTCCGTGGGGCTGGTTCCCTTGGTTCTGTAAATACAGTGCCTCTGCCTGCAGGTCCAAGACTGCCCAAGGCTGAATCAAAGTGTTTAGGCACTTGTGCCAACTGGCCTGGCATCCGTACACAGTGAGATGGGTGGATAGGGGAAGGGCCCCTGAATGGTGGTCGAACAGGATCCATTTAAAGGCTGTAGAGGTCACTGGTATCGATCTTGTTCTGACTAACTCCCTGCCAACATTTAAAAAAAAAGATTAAAGCTTGTCACTTTTTTTCTTCTAGTTCAAGATAGATGTATAAACTTATATATACACACACATACACATATACATAGAGTTGTCCAAGAAAGTAATACTAGAGTCCACTAAAATCTCTTGAAATTCTGCTTTCAACCAGTTACAGCCTCTCGCCCTTTTGAGGTGTTGCATTCCAGCATATTCCCTGTCAGCCTCAAAATAATGTCTTCCCACCAGCTTCACTCCACTTTGCCCTGCCCCACCAATCTCTCACAACATATTTCTATCTAACTCTAGAACATCTTTTAGAGGCCCAACTCTTCTGAAACTGCAGTTACAGTTTCTACTCTACCCTGCCAGCTTCCAACGGAGAACTGAGTCCTGTAAGGTAAGTGTTGCACAAAAAGCCCTTTTCATGGAGGAAAGTGACCCTTGGATTATTAAACACGTTTATACTTAATATACCTCTCCATACAATTATGCTGCTCCTATTAGTTATCAACCACTGGGTGGTTTTTGCCTCCCTTTTCAAGACCAGAGGAGCCTTGGTGGCCCTGTGGGGCTAGCATTGGGCTACTGCCTGCACTGTCAGTGGTATAAACCCACCAGCCCCTCCACGAGAGGAAGCTGAGACTGCTCTGCTAAAGATTCATAACCCTGTGTGTTAGTTAGTCTCTAGTTATACTAGAGAAACAAATTCATAGACACACACGTGTATAAAAAAGGTTTATATAAAAGAGCAGTTGAATATTGAGGAAACATCCCAACCTAGTCAAAATCAAGTCCATAAGTCTGATATTAGCCCATTTGTCTGATATCAATCTATAAAGTCCTCTTCTGACTCACGAAACACATGCAATGACGCGGAATGAAGCAGGATCACAGGCCAGTGGGTGGGAAGTCTTGTGGATCCAGTGGTGGTGTAATCATCTCAGCGCTGGCAGGGGTCTCCATGTGGCTTCTCCAGCACCCAGGGCTGCATTAGGGTAGGTCCATGTGGCTTCTCCTCAGGGATGTCTTGCAGGAAGTCAGCCTTGTCAGTAGAGAATCTCCAAGGGAGTGAGCTGAGAGTTTCCCCGCCTCCAAGGAGGAAAAGCAGGAATTCCCATATCTGAATCCTCAGAAGGCCATGAGCACACAGAGGCCTCATTAGCTATATCTTGATTGACAGGCTAGACTCCAACTATACACCCTTAATCTTCAAATTGACACCAGATTATGTAACTACCACAATGGGGAAACCCCATGGAACACTTTACTTTACCCTATACATGATGGCTGAGTCTGAAATGACATAATGGAAGGTTTTGCTTTTTCTGTACCAGAATCCTAATTTTTTTTTTCTTGCCCATTCCTGCTGTAGTGGTTATTTGTTGGGCTGTTAATCTCAAGGTCAACAGTTCAAACCCCAAGCAGTTCCATGAAGAGAGCCGAGGCTTTCTATTCCCATAGTTACCGTCTCAGAAACCAGAAGGGGGCAATTCTAACCTGTCCTACAGGGTTCCTATGAGTCAGCATCAATTTAGTGCCATTTTGTTCTTTTTTCTTCATTATTGTTATCACAAGGAGCCCTGGTGGCATAGTGGGTTATGTGCTGGCTGCTAGCCTAAAGGGTAGCAGTTCAAAACCACCAACCGATCTGTGGAAAAAAGAGGCTTTCTGCTCCCATGAAGTTACAGTCTCAGAAACCCACAGGGGGTTGCTATGAGTCAGAATGCACTTGATAGTGATGACTTTGGCTTGATTTGGCCATGAACACATTACACCAGTGGTTCTCAACCTGTGGGTCATGACCCCTTTGGGGGTCAAACGACCCTTTCACAGGGGTTGCCCAATTCATAACAGTAGCAAAATTAATTACAGTAGCAAAGTTAGTTATGAAGTAGCAATGAAAATAATTTTATGGTTGGGGGGTCACAACATGAGGAAATGTATGAAAGGGCTGCAGCATTAGGAAGGTTGAGAACCACTGCATTACACAATCTCACCCATGACCTCTTCAGCTGCTTCTCTAAATCTATCCAATTTCTTTCTAAGAGACTCTTCCCCAGACCACCACAGCAGCAGTTACCTGCTTTGCCCCTACAGTACCTATACTGTGTTAGCTCCCTCTCTGCCCCAGGTAACCAGGGATGCAGCTATTCCTTCCCATCCCCCAACCTGAGGCCTAGAAGCCTTCCATATCAATTTAGAACCTACAGATTTCAGAACTTCCTCTTTAAGGGTGCCTCCCCCAAGGAAAGCTTACTGAAGTCTCTTACTGTTTGAAAACCCCTCTTAAAATATTAGCTACAGATTAAGTCAGGCCATGCCCTTACACGTACTTCAAAAGTCTTTAATACAGGTGCAGGCAGCCCAGGAACTGAAAAGGCTCACACTGAGCTTGCCTCTTTTACACTACAGCAGTGAGACAGATACTTTCTTTTTGGAAAGGCTACAACCGCTTTCTCCCTTTAAAAACTTAAGTTCCTTTTCAGTTAGCCTGGACCCACGCCTCCCCAACCTCACCCGAGGAATCCCTAATAAGCAGTTACCCGGTGGGGGTCCAGAATGGAGCTACAGGGACCAACAACCACAGCCTTTTAAACTAAAACCCCAGCATCTTTCTCCACCTAGGCCCCTCCTCCAGGCTAGGCCTTCCCGGAATCGAGCTATTCCCCGATTTTCAGCAGACATGAGGCTGGCGAGAGGGTCCCACATGCAAGATGCCCAGCCCAGGTGAGGGCTCCGGCTTCAACGCCTTCCCCTTCCCCTGCAGCACTGCCGAGGGCCTGCTCACTGTGTCCGGCCCAGGCGCACTCACGACCACTCGATAGGCCTCGGTCTCGCCCCCTTTTCCAGCTGCTGCATCGTCTTGCACCCTCAGACCTCAGAAAACCACTTTCTGCACTGCCGCCCATAGGCACAGCCGGCCCGCACCGCCTGCCCCTCCGGCTCCCGCCTGCCCGCAAGGCCCACCCGGCTCGCACCGCCCGGGGAGAGGCAAAGGGGCAGCCGCGAGCCAGCCGCTGGCGTCGTCGGCCACCACGTGCTCGAGCACAAGCCCACCCAGCCTCGTGGGGCGACTGCCACCTTCCAGAGGCCCGGCACTCACCCGGCTCGAGGAGTCAACTACGCAATACGCACCCGCCACGCCAAGTAAGCCACCTGCTCAAGCCCCAATTTCCGGTCTTTTGTCTCGCGAGAGGCGGGCCTTGAACCCATTGGTCAGAAGATGTGCCACTCACAATATCCTGCCGCCTCATTGGATCGTCCACGAGAAGCGACCTACCTTTTTTGGCAGCCTCGGTCCACGTCGAGGTTCACCCCCAAAGGGGTGTTCCAAATGGCGTCCCCGGTGCTGCGTGCGCATGAGGATTAAGGTTACATCTCTGAGGCCTCGATTCCCTCTGTGGGCCACTTCCGTACCCTGATGTACTTGTCCCACCCCGCCCACTGTGGGGAGACCAAGGCTGGCTGGGGGTGCTGGGCCCGAACGAGTAAGCTTGAGTCCGTGTTCACCGTCCACTACTCTACTCTGTGGCCGACCGATAGCACCCTCCGGGGCGGGCTGGAGCCGCCCCTGTCGCTTCCGAGGCTCGTTACAGAGTAGGAGGTCGCTCTCCCGGGGAGCACCTGGTGGTTTCAAATCACTGACCTTGCTGTCAGCAGCCCAACGCATGACCACTACGGCTACAGGGATCCGGCTTACGCGGAAAGGACGTTTGAAAGCGCACGTTCGTGGAGTTGTATGGGGAACGTATGGACAACATTTCACACAAGGAGAGTAAAATGAACATTACATGTTGCCTAGGGTGCTGACCGCACGTGGCCGTTGAAAACCCCCCACTGGAGACAAGCGGGCCTTTCAGCTCCGGTCTCAGATCACCAGTTCTACCCTGCCCCGCAGGGTGGCTGAGTCGGCAGGGACTGCACCGCAGTGAGTGCTGGTGGTGCAGTGGGTTAGGCGTTGGGCTACGAAGCAAAAAAGGTCATTGACCTGACCCTGCCAGCCACTCCTCCAGAGACCTCTGTTGACCTGTTCTACTCTGTCCTATAGGGTCACTATGAATTGAGGATTCACTCCAGGGCCGGAGGTTTGTTTTTTGGTTTATTGTTACTATTATTACTTATTCCTAAACCCGAGAGCTAAAAAGAGCCCTCCCCCCCCCCAAACTATATAAAACCATTAGCAGTTAATTCTGTAATTACAGGATACATTCCCCCAAAATAAATAGCAACCTCCTATTATATGGATATGGGTCCTCCTCCAGGCCATTTTGACAAGCACCCACTCTCCTTTGCTTCTTCTTACAGTCTTAAGACCCAGGTCTTAAGAGGTAGTTAGGATCTAGCTTCAGGAAGCTTTCACCCTCAGATGGAAAAGGAGTGGTCCTGAGAGCCAGGCTAGAGAGATTCAAATGTTCTGTATGTAACAAGGCAAAAGAAGGCTTGGCCTCACCTTTCCCAAGCCGCAAATAGACCATGCCTTGTATGAATGCATACATTCAAGGACCCTCTTTCTCTCTTCCCCAGCTCACAACAGTCTGAAAATCAGAAGCAGGATAGGTGATCTTCAAGACAGGCATCTAATTGGCAAAGGGGCCCTTGCACAATTTAGAGACTGCTTAGCATAACAGTGGAGCATTACAAAGCCTTCTAACCCCATAATCTTTCTACTGTACGATGTTATCATTAGAAAAACTTAAAATTCTGCACATGAAAACACTTAGTAGCAAATACATTCAATAACAGTCATTCAAACTACTCTATAATCTTGATGAAGCCCCTTCTTTCAGGCACTCAACCCAAACAGATTTTTTTACAGTTTTATTGGAAAATAATCCACATATCATACATTTCAATAGTCGGTCATATCAAGAAGAATTATACAATCATTACCACAATCAATTTTAGAACATTTTCTCTCCCCACCCCCGGGTTAAATTGCTTTAAAAATGAGTTGTGTAATCACAATCACTTCTAGTTCTCCCTCCCTCCTCTCAAATGTACTGTTTGCCCCCTAAATCCCCTCACT